TTTAGATCAACTACCATATATATATACATATATATATGTATATACACACATATATATATACACATATATATATACATATGTATATACACACACATATATATATATAGAGTTTACATGCATCCATATGTATATATATATACACATGTACACACATACACATATATAGCCATATATAGCTACATATACATATACATAAACATATACACATACTTATACATATGCAGATATACATATCTGCATATCATGCATAACTACAGTGATGCAAGAAACTGCATGCACAACAAAAACCTTCGAACGTTCGTCAAAGCCCCAACGAAGTCTTTCCGTGGAACACAACGACCATCGACCTCGCCCCCGACATGCTACAGACTCAGTTTAGGGTTTTGGGTTTAGTGCTTAGGGTGCCAGCAGTTTTGAAGAACAATGTCCTGGAATCTCGCACCTAAGCCAAGCATCATACACCACCAAAAATCAGAGACTGATCCCTAATCCCCTGAACCCCTAAACCCGAAACCCAACCTAGAGTCTTCCACCCGCCACGCTAGACCTGATAAGAACTTGAGACCTCCGCACACGAGTCAATTCAATGGACTCTAAGAACCGAACTCTAAGTAAAGCCTAAGCAAGCCATAGAACCCTTTAGGTTTTTTTCGGCACCTTTAGAGAACCCCCTTTCAAAAGAACCCGAAGAGGTTCATTCAAAGGGAAAGCAAAACCACCCCTAAACGTCCCTAGAATCACTTGTCTCGCTCCCCTTTAAAGGAACCCTTCAAGCTGTTGAAGGCACCCTGAGCAGCCCTAAACCCAACAAACCCCTAAAAACAGAAGCAAAAACCGCTGGGAGAAGAAGGTGCGTGTCGGCGATGGCACAGCGCCCGCCGCCTACGACTCGGTGGTACCATCTCCAGGCCTGGCAATCTCTTCAGGAGTGCTCTCAGAGTATACTACAGTACGGTATAGTAGATTTGTGTATATTATAGCATATTACTGCATATGATCGAATATTACAGTATGGTATCGTATACTGTAACATATCCAGCATACAAGCATGCACATGTACCTGCACATCAAAAGCCAGAGTCTGTGTCTGTCTGTGTGTGCGTGCGTTCGCATATCAATCATCCGGCTGTGCGCACATGTATGCAGACAGGACGACTATCCATCCATCCTTCCTTCCATCCCTCCGCACGTCCGTCCGTCCATCCATGTACCCATGCATGCGTGCGTCCGTTCATCCATCCATGCATCCATACACCCACATACAAATGTACATCCACCCATCCATCCATCTATCCATGCATGCATGCAATGCATGCATAGTAGACGCACCTTCTTTCATTCATACATTCATCCATCCATCCGTCCATCCATCCATCCATCCATCCATCCATCCACTGATTCATTCATTCATTCACTCACTCATTCAGTCATGAACTCATGCATGCATCCATTCATCCAGTCATCCATTCATTGGTCCTGTCGTCCATTCGTCCACTTATCCATAATTATTTATTTCCTTCCTTCCATCCTTCCTTCCTTCACTTCCTTCATTCATTCATCCCGCTCAACTCATTCATTCCTTCGTTCATTAGTTCATTCATTCATTCGCTCAGTTCGTTCATTCTTTCATTTCATTTATAGCTCATTGATTTATTCGTTCATATCACTCATTCCATGCATTACGTTTTTTCATTTCAGTTCATTTCTTTTCTTCTCCTTTCATTTAATCTCATTTGTTTCATTCCTTCATTTGCTTCATCTCCTTCTTTTCCTCTATTTCATTCCATTCCATTCCATTCCATTCCATTCATTCACTCACTCACTCACTCACTCACTCACTCACTCATTCATGCATTCATTTAAGATTCAATCATTCACTCATTGCGTTCATTCGTTCATTCACTCAGTCATTCATTCAGTCAGTCAGTCAGTCAGTCAGTCAGTCAGTCAGTCTTCACGCAGAAATCACTCAATCAATCAGTCATTAATTGATCAATTCATTGATTCAGTAATTCAATCACATTAATTAATGACTGATTGGGTGAGTAATTTCTGAGTTTCTTTCATTCATGCTTTCAATCATTGTCATTCATCATTCTGCATCCATGCATCATGCATGCATGCTTACATACAAACATACCTGCATACATGCACACTAAAACATGCATTCACAGTGTACATACACAGTTCGTATGTGTTTTTGCATTTTCACCTCATCATGCGCAGGTATGTGCACGAGGATGATCCTGCTCAAACCCATGAGCAAGTATGCAGCTGCAGCGGACGAACACAATATCCTTGACGCATGGTCCAATTCCGAAGTGAATCGGACTCTTGGTGTACACATGAAACTAGCCGGCCAATTCGGAGCTTCCCAAGTTGAAATCGTGTGGCTGGTATGTGCATGAGTCGCTAGGGCAGGTTGCACAGACACAGATGTACACACATTCGCACACCTGCATTTGCTACTACACACAAACAACATGTGAGTGTTTGCCTGTGTAGACATGTATGTGCATGCAGGTACTTTGCATATGTCATGAGCACAAACTAAACACTCACATGTAGCACACACAGTGCAGGTAGGCATACCCGATTGCACCTGCTTGCCTACATGCTTGCTTACTGACTCACTCCCTTGCTTGCATGCAAACCTTCTGCCTTACCTGATCAACCGCTAGGTCGCTCGGTGCATCTGCCACAGTCGCAATCCAAAATGACCCCAGCTTTGCTGACCGTCACTGTGATCATGAAACTCAAGTGGTCGTGGGGTCATTGCATGATCATCATCTTCGTGGGCAACATGATCAGCAGCATCACCATGGCGATAGTGGCTATCATCGTCTTCGTCACCGACAACCCTAAACCCTAAATCCTAAACCCTAGAACCCTAAACCCTAAACCCTTCGCCTCTGGGTTGATCGGCTCACCGACGGATCCCAGCAGCCGGAGGCTGCTGAGGTCGTTGCGAGTAACCGGCGCGTCCCCAGATTTCATCAACGCCCGGATGGCGGTAGGGGCCGTGTAGAAGATGCTGACCTCCGGCTTTCAAGTTTTCGGGAGACTTGGGACACTTTGAGCGCTCGGAGGGCTCGGAAACACAGACCTATAGGGCTCTGGTGTCCATGGCTTTTTAGGGGCAGAATTTGGGCGTCAGGAAAATAGGAAAGCAGAAGCTAATTCCCGAAGCTCTCTGAGACAGGCCTTGTATTTCTCGCAGACCTTCCAAAAGCGGTCCACCTCCGGATGCGTGGGGACACCTTCGAAGACGACCTGAAGAAGGGGCGGACAATGGGTGAACACTGGACAGGAGAGCTGAACAAGGCTAACCCCAACACCCTAAACCGTGACTCTTATAAACCCTAAACACCAAAATCTTGAACCATAAACCTTTACACCCTAAACCCCTATATGAATTAGGGTCCCCTTTAGGGTCCGTTTTATAAGGGTGCCGTATCTTTTTGGGGGAGCCACAAAAAAAGGGACCCCAATTTGGAGAACGGACTCCCCCCTTTCTTCCGCAAAACCCTAAACCCTCTCCAAAGCATCGGTAAGCTTACAAGTTTCTAGTGTTTTGGGTTTAGGGTTTACAAACCCTAAACCCTCTCCAAAGCATCGGTAAGCTTACAAGTTTCTAGTGTCTTGGGGTTTAGGGTTTGTAGACCCTAAACCCTCAACTCCTAAACCCTGAAGTTCTTATCGGGGTTGGAGCTTCTAGGCTGGAGGGCGGAGGAGATTTTTCAAGGTTTGGGGTTTGGGTGTTTAGAGGTCTAGGGGTTTAGGGTTTGGGGGCTTGGGGATTCGGGGTTTAGGGTTTGGGGGGCCTTCAGATTCTTGGCCAATTTGTGTCCTGTGGGCATCCGAAAAACCTGAGCTCTAAACCTAACTAACACCTGTTGCCTGCGTGGCGGTGTTCAGCATGGGGCCGTAGGTCACGTAGGAGTGTCCTGTGATCCAGCCACAATCGGCGGTGCAGAAGTACACATCCTCCGGGTGGTAGTCGAAAGTATACCTTTGCGCAAGGGTTCGCTTCGCAGCTCAGTCTAGAACCCTAAGCCCAGAACCCTTACCGGCGGGAGACATCGAATCTTGCTGAACGCTCCATGCTAATGCTAAGGCACTTGGTCGTCGCAAAAGATCCGAGCATGTAGCCCCCTGTGGTGTGGAGGACGCCCTTGGGCTTTCCAGTACTGCCCGAAGTGTAGAGCATGAAGAGGGGTGCCTCACTGTCCATCCATTCGCACTCACACTCCTCCGGCTGTGAGTTGACAAAGTCCGAGTACCAAACATCCCGGCCTTCGACCCAACCGTGCTGTGCCTGCGATGCTCGTGGGGTGTCTTTGAGGCGTGCTACACAGACCACCCGCTTCACATTGAAGCCTTCCTTGGCGGTGATCTCACAGGCCTTGTCCGTGATGGCCTTTAGCTGCACGGGCTTGGCCCCCCGCATGACGCCATCGGCGGTGATCACCACGCTCGACTGTGCATCCACTAGCCGTCCCGCCAAAGACTCGGCGGAGAAGCCACCGAAGACCACCTAGACCCAGGAGAAACCTAGGAATAAAAAGGGTGCCCTTTTTGGTTCAAAGGACTTTATAAGG